TGGGCGCTGTTGCTTCAGGTAATTCAAAATCATAGCACGTTTGAATTTATCATTGAGACCCCTCACATTCCATGACAAAATATCAATACGATCCCCCATCAGAACAAATAAGAGACATGAGTGGCCTAGGAGAACACATTGGACACATCAGGCCGAACATGTGCAGGAAAAATAACCTCCTCCCACCGTCCCCAAGGACACACATGGCACATTCCCCCCCCAATAAACAACCCCAGAACCCACATTGAGAACTCCCTTGTTTGCTAGTAACAAAACAACCTTAACCCACTAGAAGCTTAGACCCAAACCCCCGACCAATTGTCAGAGCACCTCCAGGTAAAGGTGTCCCAGTGTTGGGATAAAAATCCCCAAAAATAAAAAATAAAGGGCTAAACTAAAAAACAGCCAGTTCCAGGTGTGATGTAGTATCCGCCGCCTCCTGATGGAGACTAAGCCATCCGCGAAAAATAAGAACGTGGGGCAGCCTTCGGGCCTCGAGGAGAACCGCAGAAGATGGTACATACAGAGTCCACCCGAGTCCTTGGTCGCCCCAAAACTAACTCCTGCCCGACAGTAAGGTGAGATCCCATGACAGTCCCAAAGCAGGGCAGTCCTGATGAGTCCAGGCCAGGAAAGTAAACCAATTAACGCGGATCCCTCTTATCCCAATACATCCAGCCAGTCTCCCGCCTGGGCCGTGGTATCAAAAAAAGTGAGTGAACCTTGCCTGAATGCTGGACACGTAATTTACTCGGATAAAACATGCCATATTGGATCCCCTTCTCCCGAAGTCTGCGACGCACATCCACAAACGACCTCCTTCGCTTCTGGATCTCTGCGGAAAAAAATCAGGAAAAAAAACGAAGTTGCGCGTTACCGCAGCACGTCAGGGGACTTGCGAGCTGCAGCCAGGATCCTGTCTGTCCCTGTAGTTCAGGAGGCGTGCCAAGAAGGGGCGCTCCAGGTATTGCCCTGCCAGTGGGCACCCGGTGCGCCCGTTCCACCACGAATGTAGGGGGAAATATGTCAAGCGCCAGAACTTTTTTAAATAGGGTTTCAGCAAAGTGTACCGCATCCGTTCCCTCTTCCCCCTCTGGTACTCCAATAATGCGCACATTATTTCCCCTCATGCGGTTCTCCGCGTCATCCACCTTTGCAGCGAGTACACGCACTGTATGTTGCAAATCATTAATTGCAGCAGTATGGCCCTGCACCGTGTCCTCCACCTGCGACACCCTCGTTTCTGCCGTGGTTAGGCGTGAATTTTGTCTAAATCATGGCGGATCAGGGTGCATTCCACAGCTAGGTGGTCAATTTTGGCCGTGAGAGTGACTTGGCACCCCTCAATCGCAGCCAGGATTGCAGAGGTCCCTGCAGCTTCTGGGGTATGCGGCTCAGTCCCCCCAGTAGTAGGTGTCCGTGGTGGCCCTTCACTCACCCCCTCCACGCTATCCCCTTCCATGTTCAGCAGCGGCAGGAGAGGCCCAGGGACAAGCACAGGGGAGTTCAAGATGGCTCCGGCCTTTCCCCCACCTGAGCCCTTCGTTTTCCGGGTGGATCGTCTCAGCGCTGTGGCACGTCTGCGGGACCTGGCGGACATAGATCGTCGCTCAGGTGAGTCCAGCACAGGGTGAGGGACCTGGACCGGTCAAATGGTGCGGTAGGCAGGAGATAATTCAGGATTTCCCGAGCGGAGGCAGCGGAGCTTCACCCGACACGTGCGCTCACTCACATCACGGCCACGCCCCTCCTCCACCAAACTTTATACTTGGCACAATGGAGTCAGGCAAGTACTGTTCTCCTGGCAACCGCCAAACCCAGACATGTTCATCGGATTGCCAGACAGAAAAGCATTATACGTCACTACAGAGAACACGTCTCCACTCCTCTAGAGTCCAGTGGTGGTGTGCTTTTTTCTTTAAAGATGCTTTTTATTAGGTTATTAAGTTAGCAAAACGTTACAAAACAGGTCCCAAAAAAAGGGAAAACTCTGGCAACATACCCAGTGACATAAAACACAAGAAAAAACTAAGAAAAAGATCACAATGAGTTTACAGTCTCAGTGCAAAGGTAAATTACAATACAGGCATAGGAAATGCATGGTTACACACCATTGTACAATGAACATGGGGAGCCAGTAGAGGAACATGGAGCTCCAGGCCTTATACTAGAGCACAAAGTACAATTATGCAGGATCAGTTGTTGTAGCAGTAGAGGAGAGCCATGGTCCCCAGATCCGTTCAAATCGGTCTGGGCTACCCCTCTGCGCATAGGTAAGCTTGTAAAGAAGTAGAGACTGATTGACCATTTTTTTCCAGCAACTCCCATGTAATTCATCCTCCATACTCGTGTGGAAAAGGAATTACCCCAGCAGAGTTCAAGGGACAAGGAAGCATGATCTGAAATACCTCTCGGAAGGTAGCCTATAGCATGTAACCAAGGAAGTACAGTATGGGTACCAAACGCTAAGTCTATTCTAGAGAGAGTCCTGTGTGTAGCAGAGTGACAGGAGTAGACACTGGAATCCGGATACTTCCAATCGCCCAGATATCAAATAAGCCCAAAGCTATTATTCCAAGTAGAGAAAACAGGACATGGGTGACCCGTTCCTCCCCTTCTATCCTCGACCAGGTTAGGGAACGGAATCAAAGTCTCCAATCAGTAGCAATACTTTGGAGCCCATCAGATGAGTTTCTTGTAGACACACCACATGAGGCCGATGTCTATACAGAAAGTCAAAGACCAAGGATCGCTTAAGTTTGGAGTTCAGCCATCTGATATTCCAGGAAATAAATGTATACACCATAAGGAGGGAGACATAATAGTAGTAACACTAGGGTGGAAACATGTGTACAGAGACCGAAGAGGTTGAAAAATATTTATCCATGCTAAAAACAGTGCATGCATGTTGACAAAAAAAACAAAAAGAACTACAATTTCCATACCACCACGCTTGTTAACCCAAGCCTAACAAGCCCAGGCCCTAAACATAATTATACCCTAATCAGAGCAAAGCCAACACGGCAGGGGCGCAACCAGTCTGATCAGGACCCGTCCTAAACAACCCAGGTCCTCACCAGAAGAGTGCAAAATAGTCACTCACTCCCTGTTAGGAGAGATAGACAACCCAATAAAGGGACAGAGCACATCCATATAAAACTGTGAGAAATCCAGTAAGGCATACACTGAGTGGCCAGATTATTATGACCACCCCATCAGTACTTCGTTGGGCCACCTTTTGCCTTCAATACTGCGGCGATTCTTCTAGGCATTGACTCCACGAGATTCGCACGTTCGCACGTTCAGACCCAGATTTTCGGCTGACAATCCAGTCTTTAAACACTTTAACATTTAACGAATTCTGCTGTTTTGCCGATACTCGCTCCATGGCTCCGAACGGCAACAATCATCCTACGTTCAAAGGCTGTTAAATCGCGTTGTTTACCCATATCTTCAGAAAAAAAAAAAATCACTTCTACTGTCGTGGTAAACCACCTGCTTCCCTATTTATAATGGTCTGGCCCTCTAGCAACTTCAGCACGAAATTATAGCTAATTTGCCTACAAATGTCAGGTGGTCATAATAGTCTGGCCACTCAGTGTATAGGTTAGTAGCAAAAGCAAGATATGCAATAAAGGCAATCAGCAGGGTACCCAGTGCTGAACGTGGTATGTTGAGAACTGTCAGTTATAAATCAGACTGTTCAACGATCATCATTGCGGCTGCGTTGAGGGAGACCTTTACCATCCAGCCAGTTAGACACTTCAATAGGAGTAGAGAAAAAGTGCGTTGTACCCTCAGTCGCCACTCGCAGTTTAGCAGGATAAGGCATAGGATACACCTTCTCGACGGAGGCGTTTTTTAATTTCCAGGAATGATGACCTCTGGCGCTGCACTTCAGCAGAGAAATCAGGAAAGATGAAAACCCGACCGCCATTGTAGAAAAGTTCCCAAGCAGCACGAGAGGCCTGAAGAACCGCGGCGTTATCTCTAAAGCTGAGGAGTTTAGCAATCAGTGGTCTGGGTGATGATCCAGGAGGAGGTGCAGAAGGAGTGCGGTGCGCTCTTTCAATAGCAAACGCAGAGGACGGAGCAAAATCAGGAAAAACTTTACGGAGCAAAATCAGGGAATCTTACAAAGCGTAGGTTATTGCGTCTGGAGCGATTCTCCAGATCATCCAACTTAGCTTTGCAGGCTGTAATTTCTTTTTGCAGCACAGTGTCCTCTAAGGTGTTGATCCTGCCCTCAGTTTCGGTAACCCTCCTGCAGGGTCTGTACTTCAGGAAAGAGAGATCAACATGTACCCCTTCAATTTGTGAGGCAAAGGTTGTTTTACAGTCTTGGATTGCCTTCATTAGTTGCAAAAGAGTAGGCTCAGCACTGACGGCCGCAGCTGCGGGCGGGACCCAATCCACCATCTTTATGTTAGGAGTGTCTGCAGGAGAGGAAGCAGTGCAGCCCCGGGGCTGCCTGGGGGGGGGGGGGGGGTGCGAGCCTAGCATCGCAGCCCCTTGATGTTGAGCCACCCCAGACCCCCTTTGTGTGCCCTGCTTACTTGTTCCAGGGTGACTAGGGACTGGAGGCTTCGTCCGGTCTGAGGACGAGCGTGCAGGGGGGAGAGGCTGCATGGTCACCGCCGCCATCTTGTGACCTCTGGAACCTTGCCAGCCTCTCTGCAGGAGACGGATCTCTCTGGTCTCCTATTTTGACCATATTCGTGGTCAGAAGATGTGGAGGGAGGATCGGAGCTGCTGGGGGGGTGAAAACAGCTGGGAGTGAGTGATCAGGATGGCTGAAGGAGAAACGAGGGACTGGAGCAGCGGAATCAGCGTCCGTCCATGTCGGCAGTCAGGCCACGCCCCCGGCGGTGTGCTTTACACCACTGCATCCGACGGTTTGCATTGCACTTGGTGATGTAAGGCTTGGATGCAGCTGCCCGGCCATGGAAACCCATTACATGAAGCTCTCTATGCACTGCCAATCTGAAGGCCACACAAAGTTTGAAGGTTTGTAGCTATTGACTCAGCAGACATTTGGCGACTTCTGTGCACTGTGCCCTTCAGCATGCGCTGACCCCGCTCTGTCATTTTACGTGGCCTACCACTTCGTGGCTGAGTTTGTTGTTCCCAGTTGCTTCCACTTTGTTATAATACCACTAACAGTTGACCGTGAACTATTTAGTAACAAGGAAATTTCACGGTTGGACTTATTGCACAGGTGGCAACCTATCACGGTACCACGCTTGAATTCACTGAGCTCCTGAGAGCAACAGATTCTTTCACAAATGTTTGTAGAAGCAGTCTGCATGCCTAGGTGCTTGATTGTAAACACCTGTGGCCATGGAGGTGATTGGAACACCTGTATCCAATGATTTGGAGGGGTGTACCAATACTTTTGGCAATATAGTGTATATATCTATGTAGGGACAGTTAAGCTAAGCTAGAGTGGATTTAAGGAATGTTTTCAAAGGCCATATTAGATTGTTTAGTAGGAGAATAAAAATAAGGTTATGTAATAATGTAATTATATTTATTTAAATTTTAATCGATTAATTTCCATTAATTATAACGCACATACAGATCCAACTACACTGGCCTATACACATAGAGCACAGCAATGAAGTAATAAAATGAACTAGGATCACACTAATCCAGCACGTTATTAATCTCACGTGCCCCACTCAACATGGCCGCCGCTTGAGTGGGGCAACTCAGAATAATAACGTGCTGGATTAGTTTGATCCTAGTTAATTTTATTACTTCATTGCTGTGCTGTATGTATAGGCCAATGCTTTAGCTGGCGCTCGTGCAGAAAGTTTCTTGGGGAGGAGTCCGGTGACGTCAAGGACATCAACGTCACCGGACTCCTCCCCCCTTCACTTTGTTAGCCGACGGAGCCACTGTCACGTCACTCTAGTAAGTCGCTAGGATCACAGCTGCGGAAAGAAGTTCTTGACGGCTAGTCAGTATGTGGCCTCAATTGATCCTCTCCAATGGTGTAGCGGAGGAAAGAGGAGCCATTACATCATCAACCGTTAATGGTACAGTAAACAGCTGGGGTTCAACCCGAGAGCTAGGGGGGGGGGGGTATGGTAATTTCCCCCAGCAGTAGGGATGGAGTAGTTACATGTTAGTAGAGGTTAGAACCTTATACGTATTACACGGTTGCAAGTAGTGAGGCCGATATAAGCGGGATATGCACTGTTAGTAGCGGTAGCACTGTGTAGTAACCTCACAGTTCAGAAGTCACCACACGGACCGTGAGTAATATCAGTATTGGAGTTATAAATTAGTAGTAATTACACAGTTCAGTAATCCACAGTATAGGGTATAAGCAGGGCTTGAAAAATTTGATGGTGTCTCACCAGTCAGTCAAAAATGTAGTTATGCTTCTTTATTTTTTTATGATTCTTTAATTTTAGTAAGAAGCCCCCTATGTAATAGCCAATTTACATGACAGGTCCTCTTTAGGGAGACATCAGGGGTCTCCAAGACCCCTGTCACCTAGGGACCCCCAGAGAAGCTGATGAAGCAGAGATCTGCTTCATCAGCTTCTGTAGCTGGAGAGTGACACTGAATGCAGGAAGTGATGTAATACACATCACTTCCTGCATTCGGGGACTGAGAGGAGATCAAAGGGCATTCGTATACTGAACTCCCTTTGATCTCCTGTCACAGAGCCGTGCCAGTCCCGGCCGCATTGGGCACAGCGGACCTCGGAACCGGCAACGGCAGTGACAGCTGCTAATACAAGCGATCGAGCGACTCTAGAGACGCCCGATCACTTGAATGTAAAGCTCCCGGCCGGCCGGGAAGCTGCTCGTCGGGCTTTCAAGCCCTGGGTATAGGCAATAATCATCAATGGTTATCTCCAGGCACTTATAGCATAGTCCAGAATCCACAGTATAACTCATAGGAAATAAGCAGCAGGCTCTATTAGGAGTCCCCACTAGGTGGTGCTGTTCCCTAAGCAATCCCCACCTCTAGTTATAACGATCAGGATAACGTTTGCAACAGGGCTGAAGGTAGGGTCAGACGACCCAGGCTACTTGCGGTTTCTGGATGTCAGCAGAGTGAGACGGAAACCCACGATGCAGGAGGGGTTGAGCTGGAGACCGAGAGCGGCGTCTTCAATGGTGGAGAGATCCGTGACAGCAGGAGAACCAGCACAGCATGCGACTGGCTGGCATACACTGCACCATAGAAGGACACCGCACAATAGCTTCCCCGACGGTTTTATCGGAGCGACGTGTGGCGTGGAGAAGGCAGGGCCTGTCTTCGAGACGCGACGCTGGAACGCCGCGGGGTGAGTTTCTTACAGCCACTTGACTTTAAATAAAGAATATTAAAAAAAAAGTAGTAAAAAAATCAGATATAAAATCAACAATTTTACCAATAAACTCTTAATATTCAACAAAGGATTCCCAAAGAACTATGGGTTATCTAAGGAGATAGCATAGCATAATCTGCCTGCCTTGTCTCACATTGGCTGAAACCTTTGAATGAGCTGTGCGATAAAGAGAGGAGTCACTGTTAATTCTGGTTCATTCATTTAGTGTGTGCGTGCGTGCGTGCATCAAGACATCAAACATGTCAAACTTTAAAATTGCGTGCACCCACCCAAAAAAATACCATACCCAAAATTGGCCATAGGCGACGCTTTAAAAGCTTTTACTGCTCGTCGGTTTAGTGTTCTAGTGATTTAATTGTCCTAAAATTATTGCCCTCACGCTTGACGTTCGCTGTGATATGTAACGTGTGGCGCAATCGCCATTTTCACATGTAGGCGCACCTGACGCGTGTGTGTGTGGGGGGGCAGGCGACCTTAAAAAAAATTGTGTTTTTTTAAAATTTTATAATTTGACTTAACTTTATTGCCATCACATATGGGGCCATCGTTTGCCGTTTACAATTTAAAGCAGTTTTCTAGCGTGCGCCACCCAGCGGCATGCACGAGCAGGACAAGTGAGGACGTCTAAAAATGCCCACTCACATCAGGGAAGCTACCATCCATGGCCATTTGTGAACTGGAGTCTGCTAGGAGCGGGAAGGCGTCTTAAGACGTCCTGCCCCTCCCCCCTCCAGCCAGCGATGTCTGTTTACATACAAGCGATCAGGCGTCTCTAGAGACGCCTGATCACTTGCAGGAGCTGCGGGTGTGCGCCCCCCCCGTACCTCTGTCCCGCCTTCTCCTCCTCGCCATCGCTGCCGGTCCCGCGATCCGCTGTGGCCGGTGCGGCTTGGACCGGCGCGGCGACGCTCTAACAGCAGATCATTACTCGATCTCCCTTTGATCTCTCTTCCTGTCCCCGAATACGCACGTTACATATCACCGCGACCGTCGGAGTGAGAGCAATAATTCTAGGGCCTTCAATCACTGATAACACTAAACTGATGAGCGGTAAAAACGTCTAAAGCGTCGCCTATGGCCAATTTTGGTTGTGGTCGTTTCCTGCGATTTCGCGGGCAACTTTAAAGCTTGACATGTTTAGTGTCTATTTACTCGACGTGACCCCGTTTTTTATATTGTACCAAAAAATTGGGGTGATAAATGTTTCATAACATTTCATAGGGAAACAGGTTTTTTTCTTTTCAAAAATTAGGGTACTTTTTTTGTTATATAGTAAATTTTATTACCAGTGGTAATTAAAATACCGCCAAAAGAAAGCTCTATCTGTCCCCAAAAAAATGGTATGAAATTTGTTTCAGTACAGCGTTGCATGACGGAATAAACGTCAGTCAAAGTACCGCAGCGCTGAATACTGAAAAATGGCTTGGCCAGGAAGGGGGTGAAACACCATGGTTTTCAAGTGGTTAATTACACACCGGCATCCTCTCATCACAGACGAGTTAATTTTTAAGCTAGATATATACACACACACACGATATAGAAAAGAATCACCCACCTTTAAAATAATCACATTTTGTTGCTTCGCAGCCAGAAATGAAGATAGTCACAGTATGAGAGAGTGAGAGCGATTAACACCACATTTAAAACACACCTGCTCCCCATTCACACCTGATACCTTTCTCTGGGGCATCATGGTAGCAAACGCTGGGAAATGACCACAACAGAGAGGGAAATGCTAAGAAAGTTAAATCAGTTAGTAGAACCATTTACAATAACGCTTCTGCTGAATTCGGCTGTAGTCAGTAAAGATGGGTCCATGCCGAGAAGACAAGGAGGTTGCCTTACAGATAGTCTCTGCTGAGACCTTGAAACGAGCTGCCCATGAAGTTGCAAGCCCTCTAGTAGAGTGTGCGGTGATTGCCTTAGGAGGAGAAAGGCTCTTATGGTCTTGACCAACCAAGAAGCAATCGTTCTGGCCGACGCATCCTGTCCCTTCCTGTAGCCCCAGGGAATGATGAACAGGTTGTCTGAGGACCGTATAGACTCTGTAGTTTGCACGTAACTTCTCAGAGTAGTAGCAACGTCAAGTGCATGTGGTGAACCTGAATCGTCCGTCAGTACATGGTTGAGATGAAATGTGGAGGCAACTTTCAGCAGCAATTGAGGCAGTGGTCTCAAGAATAATATTAATCACCCCTTTAGTTACTTGCTCTATATTTATTATATACATTTTTATTCCCTCCCCATTATGTAGTTTAAAAGCTTCTCCAGTCTTTTAATCATTTTCTCCCCCAAAAGTGCTGCACCTTCCCCATTAAGATGCAGCCCGTCTCTGCTAAAGTCGGTAAGTGACTGAGAAGTCAGCCCAGTTCTCCAGGAACCCAAAGCCCTCTTTCCTACACCAGCTCTGAAGCCACTTCTTCAGTTCCCTCAACGCTCTCTGTCTCTCTGGAGTGGCACCGGCAGTATTTCAGAGACTACCGTGGAGGTCCTTTTCTTTAACCTAGCACCCAAGTCTATAAACTGACTTTTTAGGACACTCCATTTGCCTCTTATTTTGTCATTGGTGCCGATCTGCACCATGACAGCTGGGTCATGCGCAAACCCATCCAGTAACCTGTCCATCAGTTCGCAATGTGTCGAACACAAGCCCCCG